GCTGAGGTCCTTGGAGGAAATGGTGAGATAAAAATGTATAGACAGATCTCTCAGCCATACCCATCTCAAAGCAAAAACACTATGCTAGGGTTCTTTTGTTATGTTCAAAGTAAGAAAAAGAGCAAGGACATGGGAGGCCCACTGCAGGGACAGGAAAGTCAAATTGTAACAAATGATGAAGAAAGGGCAGAACTGCTCAATTCCTTCTTTTCCTCAGTCTTTTCTTGAGAGGGAAATGGTGCTCAACATGGCAAAAACAGAACACATGATGAGGGAAGGGAGTTGCGGCCTAGGATCAGCATAGGGGTAGTACATAAACACCTAGTTTCTTTAAATGAAACTAAGTCCTCAGGGCCAGATGAATTGCATCCAAGGTTACTAAAAGAACTTGCAAACGTAATTTCTGAGCCTCTGTCTATTATTTTTGAGAATTCTTGGAAAACAGATGTGGTGCCAGAAGACTGGAGGTGGGCAAATGTCCCCATCTTCAAGAAGGGGGAAAAGGAGGATCCTGGTAACTACCGACCCGTCAGCTTGACATCTATACCTGGGAAAGTTTTCGAACAAATCATCGAACAGTCGATCCTTGAGCATTTAGAAAGGATGGCTGTGATTACTAAGAGCCAGCATGGGTTTCTCAAGAACAAGTCATGTCAGACTAACCTTATCTCTTTTTTTGAGAAAGTTACTACCTTGCTGGATCAGGGGAATGCTGTAGACATCGTTTATCTTGATTTCAGTAAGGCTTTTGATAAGATTCCACATAATATTCTTATTAACAAGTTGGTAAAATGTGGTTTGGATCCTATTACTGTTAGGTGGATCTGTAACTGGTTGAAAGATTACACCCAGAGTGCTTGTTAATGGTTCCTCATCCTCTTGGAGAGGAGTGACAAGTGGAGTGCCTCAGGGACCTGTTCTATTTAACTTCTTTATAAATGCTATGGATGAAGGATCAGAGAGAATACTTATTGAATATGAAGATGATGCTAAATTGGGAGGGGTAGCAAATATGGTAGAAGACAGAGTCAGGATACAGGATGATCCTGACAGGTGTTAAGTACTTCAATGACTCAGTATCAATAGCAGGTTCTTAAGCAGATTCATCTTTATTGATCAGAGTAGAGTGAAGTCGACTTGGACACTCTGAGTCAGGAATGGCAGTAGCAGATATAGTGGGTTCATACATTACCCCCTGACACCTAGAGGCCAATAATAATAATAATATTAATAAACATGTGGTCAAGGGGGATCCAATAGATATTGTTTACCTTGACTTCCAAGAAGCTTTTGATAAAGTTCCTCATCAAAGGCTCCTAAGTAAGCTCAAAAATCATGGGATAGAAGGACAAGTCCTTTTATGGATCAAAAACTGGCTAATTAATAGAAAACAGAGAGTGAGTATAAATGGACAATCTTCTCAGTGGAGGGTGGTAAGCAGTGGGGTACCGCAGGGATCAGTACTTGGTCCACTGCTTTTTAACTTGTTCATTAATGATTTGGAGTTGGGAGTAAGCAGTGAAGTGGCTAAATTTGCGGATGATACGAAGTTGTTCAGGGTGGTGAAAACCAGTGAGGATTGTGAGGCACTCCAAAGGGATCTGTCAAGGATGGGCGAGTGGGCATCAGCATGGCAGATGGGGTTCAATGTGGCCAAGTGCAAGGTGATGCACATTGGAGCCAAAAATCCTAACTATAAATACACATTGATGGGGTCTGAACTGGCAGAGACTGATGAAGAGAGAGATCTTGGAGTTGTAGTAGATAACTCACTGAAAATGTTGAGACAGTGTGTGACTGCAATAAAGAAGGCCAATGCTATGCTGGGGATTATTAGGAAGGGTATTGAAAACAGATCAGACAATATCATAATGCCCCTATA